TCTTGTGACTTTTTATGTTGCCAGAGAAATATCATTTCGGAGTGTCAATTATTAAAGTAAGAAGAATAGTTGAGCGATGAACCAAGAGATTGAATTCTGTTCACGCTGTATGTTTTTAACACGACAATGACATTGATGTCATTGTTAAAGGAATGTCGAAAAATTTAGCTAGTTTCTTGATTAGAGGATAATTGAGCACTATCTAACAATAGGAAGAGACAAGAGTAAAGATTTACTCCTAGAATTCTTGGGAGTTCATAACTGCTGTTTTGAGTTGCTGATTTTTCTCCCTTCCTTGAGTGGAGGGTTTGGATGGAACAGTCTTTAGTAGCTATATAGATAAAAAGTGTTATAAAGGTTTGCTGTACTTAGTAGCTTTTGGGGGATAAATGCCTGCAATGTGAATTAATCTATCAAAGCTGTATCCTCTTGTGGATGCCTGTAATCGGTCTACTAAACTGATGAATTGAATGGTTACATTTGAAAAATAAATAAAAATCGGGAAGGTGTATAGACTTGTTTCACGTGGGAAACTGGTAAAAATAATTGACAAATTGATGAACTACTAGCTATCCTGTATGTAGAAAAAGTGTAAATTACTCTATATGCTTTCTATGCCTCGAGCTGCTTTCACAAGCTAACCCCTTTGGCCTTTAGGACATTGAAATTTTTTATTTGGTATCATCTCTGTCATTTATACCAAGTAATTAGTATTGAAGTTCATTAGTTCATCTTACTACAGATGTTGTATGAAATCCATGTTTGTTCTATGAGAAATTTGATGAAGAAAAATGTATTCAAATTCATATGTTGTTTCTCTGATCTGCCAATAAAGTTAAACGTAAGTACCTCAAATCTTGGAAGGAATAGCTTAAACTTGCTTAGCTATTTGGCATGGTAGCGGATTGTTGAATCTAACAGCATTTGCATTTTGATAACGCTGAACAACTAGAAAGAATATTTTTATCCACAACAGGCCTAATTTACCACAAGGAATGAACTCTNGGTATTTGCCTCATCTTGCAGTTTAGCTGATTTCCTTTTTTATAATTATTATCCTGCAATTAGTTTGATGCATCTGTCAACTTGGTGTTTATGAAACCCTGTCAAATTCTTCTGGCTGTCTGGTTGCTCAAGCATGTTTTGAAGATAGTCCTTTCACCAAATATCTCCCATTTTTCTTTTGCTCAAGGAATGAGTAGACGGAATCATAATTTCATTTGGCATTATCATGAGGAAATATTTTGTATCCCAGTTACTGAAGAATATGTTTTCAAAACCATGATCCATGAGGTCATTTGTATTCTTCAAGGGCACGTGTTGGGTGCAATACTAAGTGAACCTGGATGGTTGTTGACTTATCTTCTCTGTTTAGTGACGTAATTAATACAATAGTTTCTTTCTTTTTTACAAGTAAACTATGTGTGGTCTGAATAGAAAAGTTGTCACAACTATTTTTGCAATCCTTTTTTCTTGATATTCGTTACAATGTGATGAATGCAACATTCTGCAAAAAACTAGCTGTGCTAGTCATTTTTTGTAAATGATTCGAAAATGGAGATGTGATCTGTGATCGCTTGAGGTGGACTATCTGATTTGGTGAGAGTCTACCTTTGACCTTCTTCTGCACCCATGTACAGATATTAAGTTTCTTCAAGTTGACATAGAAAGCAAGTTCTGAAGTAGGATAGGTATAGTTTGATATGTAGAATATAAGTTTCCCGATGCGAAGGACAGAAAACTGTATGTTCACTGACTTTTTTTGGTTTGTATGTATCAGTATTTCCAGTTGGAACTGTTTGGTAATTCATTTTCTGTAGATTATTTGTTGTCTCTGCCTCTTTGCTGTGCCATGTGATTATGGTTTGCTTCCATTTTGATGCTCAAGACTGGTTTTTGCCTTTTGTAGATCGGGTAGGTCATCCATTCAAGAACCTTGGGCTAACCGCATGACTTGGCATCAAGGTCTGCTAGTTGCAGTGCCATGTTATTTTATTTTCTTTGTGAAAAGAGATAACTGGACCTGTAACCATTTCAATCTCCCATGTTTCTTCTTTCAGGAAATCTTCTTTCAACTGACTCGTGGAAGGATGCACTGAAGGGAGTAACTTCAGTTGTGCGTATAACCTGACCTGTCAACTTTTATGAAAACTCTAACAGAGAATGGATGAACATTGGTTTTATCACAGACTCCCAGTTATTTGATAATAAAAAAAGTGAAATAATTATGGCCATGGGCTTTCATGTATTCTCTCATCTTCCATTTTTGTTTTGCTTGTAGTTGTTGTTGGGATGGGGATGGAAGGGCTATAGATTACTCACTGTCCTAGTTAAGTTTAAAATAAATGGAGAAGTTTAAGAGTGTGCATAATGTTAATAACTGGAACTAAGATCGTCAACATAGAGGATCTTGTCATTTGAAAGAGAGATTATTTTAAGCATTTAGGATCGATTTTTAATAAGAAACTAAGTAGTGAAAGGGGATGTAATGCTAGGATGTGAGTGAGTCAAAGTAGAGAAGTGCTACTAGGATACCATGTGATATTAAAATCCCATCGGGTTAAAAGGAAAGTTCTTAGACCAGCTATACAAGATTGATTATTGGGCTACAGAAGGACAAAAAATCTATAAGATTGAACATAGGGGGCTAGAAAGGATCCCCGCGTTGGACCCTTAGTTTATTTGAGATGAAGCTTAGCTAGTTATTGTTTTTGTTCTATGTTTTTCCGGACGGGGTGGGAGTGCTGCTGATTTTTTGCCGCATTAGTTTTGCATTAAAGACTGATCTCGTCCTCTCTCCAAATCTTCCCTACCACCCCCGCAATTAGACTTGAAGTTGCAACAGTTGTAGGATTGGTAGTGCCTTAATCACAAGGCCAAACTATGGTTTCAGAATTTTGCTTACATCTTTTTCTAGTATTTTTTTATTTGTTTCCTGATGATTATTTATCTTATAAGTAGGCTGATCAAGTGACTCAGTTTTTGTCTTTTTTATGCTAGTTTTCATTTTGTAACTAGTGCTAGTGTTGCTGTTGTAGATTTCTTGTGTTGGTGGTTTTGGTTCCAACTCTTACATGTATAAAATCAATGGGACTGCAAATATCGATGCTATTAGAGCTGCTTCTGAAGAAGGTACTGGTATTGATTAATTCTTTTTTCTCTGTATATTGACTGATAACTTATCCTTGTCTTGATTTTGATAATAGTTAATGAACATCTGTGGGGCAAGTTGGATACTAGGGTTCATATGAAGATTTCCTAGGATGATTTCTTTTTAATTTCTAATTCAAAATTGTATCTGACTTCAACAACTTGTTTTAGATATTTCTCTCCTGGAAATTACAGTAGTATCTGTAGCAACATGTAAATAACTTGCACCATGGCTTTTTAACTCTGGTCTTCTATGCATGTTTTTCTCTAGTTTGGTTCTCGCCGAAATAGTAAAATGTTAAATGAAGGTAAAATTATGGGCTATATGATTTCATGCAAATTGTAATCACTATAAGTGCAAACATGTTGGAAGCCCAAGTTTTTCTTTCTATGTAGACGTTGCAGATTACACTAATTAATCCTATTGTTGTTTACATAGACACTATGAAAAAAAAGAAAAAAAAAGAAAAAGGAAGTGGGCGGAAAATGGGTGGTTTTATTGTTGGTACCTACTAGGTGATTTTTGGTTGTTTTGCTTCTTAATTTTGTGAAACTTCATCTTCAAATCATTTATAAGTGAAACTATTTTAAGCTGCATTGCTTGTCTGGAGAATATATACGAATTTTAATGTATTTCGACTTCCTAATTTTGACGGATGTAACTTCTCCCATGAAGCTGATAATGATTTGTACTTTCTGCATTTCTTTTTTCTCTTTGCTCATTTCATATTTTTTACTAACCCTTTTTTTACCTACAGGTGTGAAGAGATTTGTGTACATCTCTGCTGCTGACTATGGTGTGGTAAATTATTTGCTACGAGGATATTATGAAGGAAAGGTAATATTGATATTATTTTGCCATTTAATAAGGATAAATTATTGTTGGTTCTAAGTGACTGTTAAAAAGAGCATTAGTATTTGATAACCCATGGCAAAGAAAGAAGTCAAGGTGTTTTTACTTTGTCTTACGGTGCAGAGAGCTGCTGAGACGGAACTATTGACTAGGTATACCTATGGAGGTGAGGTTTTCTCCTATACTATTCCTAGCAATCTTCATTTAGCAAACAAAATTTTGCTAGCCTATTTACCTTCTCTTCATCTAAAGTAGGAGGATACAGTTTGTCACTGTTGGTTTTCCTCCTCTCGATTCTCTATGGTTTTTTGCATTTGTACTCTTTGATAGTGTTGTATAGCTTGTCTATGACACTTCCAAATTGTGAAGAATCAACTGAGGGCCAAGGAAACTTCTTGTAATTTCCTGATTTGCCAAATATGTTGTTCAGATATTTAGACTCTCTGGCTTCATTTTATCAGCACTCCTAAAATCTCTTATGTTGGCACTTATTGAAAATTGAATAGGACGTATTCCAATCTTAACCAGAGTTTGTGTTGCTTTAGGCGTAATTCTTAGGCCAGGGTTTATCTATGGAACTCGTCGTGTTGGCAGCATGAAGTTGCCTCTAGGTGTCATCGGTTCTCCACTGGAAATGGTAAGATATGTATAGGTGCGCGACTAAAATGAAGCTTAATTCCATATTTGGCGACCTTCACTGGTGCTAGAGCATTTAGTCAGATAAATTGCTTTCCAGTTGAGGTTTATGTTATTGATTATTTGCAGGTTCTCCAACATGCAAAACCACTTAGTAAAGTCCCCCTTGTTGGACCTCTCTTCGCTCCGCCTGTTAACGTTACAGCAGTTGCAAAGGTTGCTGTACGAGCAGCGACTGACCCTGTTTTCCCTCCTGGCATCATTAACGTCCATGGAATTATACGTTACAGCCAGCAGAAATCTCTGTAGAGGATTGACCTTTCTCTTTCCTCCATCGTATAGTTTTCGGTACAGCTAAATTTTTTCGACCACTCTTCTGCAAATCTTTAAGAATGCTCGACTCTATAATTTACCGCTGTTATCAAAATGCAATAAAGGATTTGAACTTCCATAAATAAATGTCATCTATTTTTGCTGTGGTCTGTATCTCTGTCAAACTCTGGGGTGCTGTTGGTTTGTAAAGGCATAAAATTTAGTCTTTACCAACTCGAGCAATTTTGCATTCGGACCTCATTGTAATAGGTATTGTATGTTCACAAATATTTTAATTTCTTCTTTTTTATTTATTGTCTGAATTATCTAATTCAGAACAAGCTGCTAATGACAAAAATTGATTTTTATCTAATTCTTGATATAGTATCTATTAATTTATTCTTAGTTGTACTTTGAATTCATTTGAAATTTTATTATGCCCTTCTTCATTAAATGTTACTTATTGGCATCTAGATTAAAGTTATAACACTGGTGAGTTTTGTGCCCTATTTGGGTGAAAAATGAGTTTTGTAATAGTGATTTTTTGAAGAATGCATGGTTAAAATATATGAAAAAGTTTTGAATTTAGGTGTGAAATTTTTTTTATTGAGAGAATGTGTAATTGAAAATGAATGTGAAAAACAACGAGGTTTTAAAAAAGTGGAAATTACATTCTTACCTACTTTTCAAAATCAATTTGCTAAAATCATAGTGAAGGTTTCAATGTACAAAAATAAGATATTTTAAATATTTAATATTATAATACAAATTTATTTAACCCTAATCATTTTCATTTCCCACTCTTCCTCTCACTGGCTCTCCCCGCTCTTCCTCTCTCCTTTCATCGATTCAAGCAACCGGTGATGGAGTTGCTTCGGTTAACACCACACCACAGTGACTGTCATCATCGGACAAAAAGTCGGTGTTCGGAATGGTGTGGCTCACCTAATTGACTATTTTACTGTCGATCAATGGTATGCTGCGGAGAGAGGACTGATGCTGCTCCTTCACCTATCCCATCTTCTCTCTTGAAGGAAACTGACATCGAGACTGCAAGATCGGTACAGCTGAGCATTCGCCGCTCACTTGCAGTGTATTGAGGTGGCGGTCCCACTCTTCCTCTCACTGGCTCTCCCCGCTCTTCCTCTCTCCTTTCATCGATTCAAGCAACCGGTGATGGAGTTGCTTCGGTCAACACCACACCACAGCGACTGTCATCATCGGACAAAAAGTCGGTGTTCGGAATGGTGTGGCTCACCTAATTGACTATTTTACTGTCGATCAATGGTATGCTGCGGAGAGAGGACTAATGCTGCTCCTTCACCTATCCCATCTTCTCTCTTGAAGGAAACTGACATCGAGACTGCAAGATCGGTACAGCTGAGCATTCGCCGCTCACTTGCAGTGTATTGAGGTGGCGATGGTGTTGGCGATTTTGGGGATTTTTTGGTATTGGTGTGGTGTGGCGGCGGTGAGTTTGGGGATTTTTTGTTGTTGTTGTTTTGATGTGGGATGGAGATGGAAATGGTGATGGTGCTGTGGCCGAAATCCTGCAGCTTCGCGATGATAGTGGTGTGCTTTGGCGGTTGTGGTGACACTGAGTTTGGGGATTTTTTTGGTTTTTGTGGTGTGATGTAGAGATGGAAATGGTGATGGTACTGAGGCCGGAATCTGCGCTGTGGTCGAAATCTGTAGCTTCGCAATTTGGTGGGTTATTGGGTTATGCTTTCAATTGGTGGATAGGGACTGTAATGGTGGTGGTGGTGGTGGTAGTGTTTGGGTGGCGGCGAATTTGTTGGATTCGATGGCGGAGGTTACGTTGAATATGGTGGTGGTGGTGGTGGTGGTTGTGGTTTTGTTGGTGGCGATGGTGTTGGATATTTTGGGTGGTGAGATGGTGGCGATGGTTATGGTGATATGTTGGTGGCGATGGGTCTATCAAAGTGGTGGTGATTCAACAAGCGTGAACAAGTAATTGTCAACCACTTTCTTATAATCTCTAGGAAATAAGTAGGCAGTAATGAAGTACATGATACCAATGAGTGAAACATCATGATCTAGGAGAATTTCAACAAGATCCAGATCCGGCATTTGGCACGTAGATATGAATGTGGATTTCACATCTTCGTGTGTCACGGTATCCACTTAGAAAAGTACTTTTTCTTCAGGTGTGATGTTCTATTTTCGAAAATGCCCATGTCACTATCGCTATAACATCTCAGTCCTATGACTATGCTAAACTCAAATATAGAGAATCTAACATAACGTCCAGCAACCAAAACCACATCTCTTCAGGATTAGGTTGATGGACCTGCCGCATGAGGAAGTAATAAATTAATTGCGATTGTAACACAATTTCATGGCAGTCGAGAAAATGGGCAAAGCATGTTCCCATCATAATGAGCTTCTGTAGGTCAAATAATTTTGCTTGAATACTTGAAAGCACACCCTTGCTGACTGAAGTTGTAATCTTGCCTGGGAACCATCGTTTCTTCGGTATGATGAATCACCAATCCTGCACAAAATTGTTTAGAAAGACCCAATGTGAAGTAAATGTAGGGAAATCACACACAGTTAGATGTATGCAACTGTGCACTCAGGCTACAGATACATTCACATTGTTGTATAACTAGAAATAATATGGTCACAAGCATGTGTAATGCTCTAAATCCAGGCCTCATATTCACAACAAAACTTGGTCACAGAACAATATCATGGTCACATACCATAAGTATCGTGTTCTATATTCAACTAAATGAGGTCACATAGGTATGTATTGTTACGCAATAAAGCCACATAACTATTCTCAAATCATGTTACAAATCATTAATAGGCATACATTATGTTGTGCATTCAAGCCACACACCATATAAGCCACAGTCATAGTTTGACATCTTGGTCAATGTAGACATCGTTGTTCATAATGAATAAGGTCACAAATGTATAAATCAACAACTTCAAAAATCAGGCCACATGCAACAATCATTAAAGTCACACATTCATAACTCCCTCGGTCACATATTGACATCTTGGTTACATATTGATAATGGCGAGGTCACAACCATACTTTTTGTTATGTAATTAAGCCACATTTCAGGAGAAATCTAGGTCACACCCAATATTGATACCAAGAATCCTAAGCTAATGATTACAGCCAATTAAACGTCGCAAAAATTACATAAGACTTCAATGCTTCTAATCCATTAATTCCATCAACATGTTTGCCAATAAAATCATAACAACCAATACCTAAAATGATACTTACCTTTTTCGAGAGCAATTTCTTCGCAGTCCGAGACGGTGGTTGCTTATTAGGTGGTGTTTTTTTGGGGCTAACCTCGGATTTCCTCTTGCTTCTACGTTCGAAAGTATCTTCGACATTGATAACCAACTTCGCCTTCGACTTCTCCATTTTAGATGTCAAAGAAATTAGGGCAAAAAAGGTCGACTGTGTTATACAATACTTGATGTGGTCGGACGTGGTTTGTATTCTAACTTGCCGGAAGTGAAATGAATGAACGGTGTAGAGGATTGAGAGATTGGAGGAGAGAGTGGGAGATAGATGAAATGGAGAAATTTCGGCCATTGGGAGTAACCGTGTATAGGATTAAGAGATTGGGGGAGGGAGAGTGGGAGATAGATGAAATGGTTTATTATGGAAGTTATCATAATTAAAATTCGAATTGCGATATTTAAGGAAACGCGATAGTTGCAATACATATCGTT